GGGAGGGGGGGGAGGCTGGGAGTCTGTTCAAGACCCCGGACACTCGGACTGTGAAGAAGGTTTTCCTTATGTTCAATCTAAATCGGCCTTCCAGGAGTTTGTGGCCACTGGACCTTGTTATCCCTTGGGGGGTCCTGGTGAACAACTGTTCTCCCAGCTCCTGGTGCACCCCCTTATGTACTTATAGGCTGCCACCAAGTCCCCCCTGAGCCTTCTCTTCTCCAGGCTGAAGAGTGCCAAGTCCCTCAGCCTCTCCTCATAAGGCTTGCTCTCTTCGCCTTCGATCATGGGGGTGGCTCTCCTCTGGACTCTCTCAAGGTTATCCACGTCCCTCCTGAAGTGGGGGCCCCAAAACTGGACGCAGTACTCCAGCTGCAGCCTCACTAAGGCTGAGTACAGCAGGAGAAGGATATCCCTGGTTTTGCTTGAGATGCATCAGTGCCAGTGTTTGGTTTGCTTTGCCAACCACAGCATCACATTGGTGGCGCATGTTCATCTTATGGTCAATCAAGACCCCCAAATTTCTTTCGGTCGTGGTGCTAGCGAGCCCTGCCAAGCCTATAAGTATGATGCTAGTTTTTCCTCCCGAGGTGGAGCACCCTACACTTCTCCGCATTAAATGCCTTCAGGTTTTTGTCCCCGCACCTTGCAAGCCTGTCCAGGTCAGCCTGTATCCCCAGCCTGTCCTCCAGTGTGACTGCCTTCCCCCATAGTTTAGTGCCATCCGCGAACTTTGCAGGTCCGCATCTGACGCCCGAATCCAGATCGTTAATGAAGATGTTGAAGAGTACTGGCCTGAGTACTGAGGGACCCCACTGGTCACCTTGCACCATTGACTTACTCCCATCAACTAATACTCCTTGGGTCTGGCCCCAGAGCCAGTTCCCCAGCCATTGGACCGTGGGGTGGTCAAGGCTGCAGGTCTCCAGCTTAGCCATGAGGACATTGTGGGAGACCAAATCAAAGGCCTTCTTGAAATAAAAATATATGACATCAACCTCATCTTCCTTGTCCAGGCAGTGCATCACCTGACCACAGAAGGAGATGAGGTTGGTCAGGTAGGACCTTCCAGCGACAAAGCCATGTTGGCTGGCACTCAGAAAGTTGCCTTCCGTTAGCCTGTTGCTGATGGATCCCTTGATGATTTTCTCCAGGATCTTTCCAGGGATGGACATCAGACTGATTGATCTGTAATTCTCTGGCTCTTCCTTCCTTCCTTCTTTTCTTGAAGATTGGGACCACGTTGGCTCTTTTCCATTCTTCCGGTACCTCTCCCGAGCGCCACGAGTTATCAAATATCTTCACGATAGGGTGTGCTACGATGTCCACCAGCTCCTTCTGGACTCTCGGGTGCATTCTGTCTGGGCCCGCGGACTTAGCGGATGTCAAGCCGCTTGAGGTGTTCCCTCACTTGATCTACGTTGATTGTGGGCCCATGTCCCACTCCCTGGATGCTTTGCATCCTGTCCAGCAGGGTGACTCCCTTTGGTGGGTGGAAGACTGATGCAAAGTAATCATTTAGGAGATTGGCCTTTTCCCAAGTGTCAGATGTCAGCTGCCCCATTTGATTTAACAGGGACCCATTGTTGCCTTTGTTCTTTCTCCGACTTCCCACCTATCTGAAGAAGGACTTTTTGTTGTCCTTGATTCCTGTGGCTAGCCTGAGTTTGGTTTCTGCCTTGACTTTTCTGGTCCGCTCTCTACAGGTGTGGGCTAGTGCTGTGTACTCCTCCTTGGTGATGAGTCCCGTTTTCCATCTGGAGCAGGCTTCTCTTTTTAGTTTCAGGGGGTCCAAAAGTTCCCTACTGAGCCAAGTTGGTTTCCCAGCCCACTGACTGCATTTCCTACAGGACACAATGGGCTTTCCTTGTACTTCGAGGATTGATTCCTTAAGGAACCACCATTCCTCATGGACTCCCCTTTCTGAGGGGTCATGGTCTCTTACTGCCTGACTGACCAGTCTCCTGAGTTTGTGAAAGTCAGCCTTCCCAAAGCTGAGGATTTCTGTTTTACTGAGAGACTTGCCCGCCCTGCGTTGGACAGAGAAAGTGATCAGTTCATGGTCGCTGTCACCAAGCTTCCCCTTGATCCTCAGATTG